AGAGGGTAATAGTGAATGGGGGAACATCAGACTGGTGACCTGTCACTGTGGGGTTCCACAGGACTCCATCTTAGGCCCTGTGCTCTTCATAAATTACTTGGACACAGGAATGGAAGGGATACTAAGTAAGTTTGCAATTGATACAACATTGGGAGGAGCTGTTGACTCACTTGAAGGCAAGGAGGCCTGCAGAGAGACCTCAATAGGTTAGAGGACTGGGCAATCACCAACTGTGTGAAGTTCAACAAGGGAAAGTGCCAGATTCCGCACCTGGGATGGGGCAACTTTGGATGTACAGACAGGCTGGGGAATGAGATTCTGGAGAGCAGTGCCAGGAAAAGGACCTGGGGGTCCTGGTCGATGGCAAGTTGAACGTGAGTCAGCAGTGCCCTGGCTGCCAGGAGGGCCAACCGTGTCCTGGGGCGCATCAGGCAAAGCATCGCCAGCCAGTTGAGGGAGGGGATTGTCCTGCTCTGCTCTGCACTAGTGCGGCCTCACCTTGAATTGTGTGCGGTTTTGGACACCACAATATAAGAAAGATATTAAGCTGTTAGAGAGCGTCCAAAGGAGAGCAATGAAGATGGTGAAGGCCTTGAGGGGAAGTCGTATGAGGAGCGGCTGAGGGCACTTGGTCTGTTGAGCCTGGAGGAGGCCGAGCAGAGACCTCATTGCTGTCTACAACTTCCTCGTGAGGGGAAAAAGAGGGGCAGGCACTGATCAGTGACAGAACTCGAGGGAATGGCCTGAAGCTGTGTCAGGAGAGGTTTAGTTAGACATTCATCCATGGATAGTTGGGTGCTGGAACAGTCTCCCCAGGGAAGTGGTCACAGCGCCAATCCTGCCAGAGTTCAAGAAGCATTTGGATGATGCTCTCAGGCACATGATGTGATTCTTGGGATGCCCTGTGCAGGGCTAGGAGTTGGACTCTGATGATCCTAGTGGGTCCCTTCCAACTAAGAATATTCAGTGATTCTCTGATTCCATGATACTTATTTCTTTGCAAATATTTCTCCAGAAATGAAGACTAACGAAGTCCTTATCTACTGTTGTGTGCCATTAAGGTTGTAGCGGCCTGTCTGTCAAGTTCATGGCCCCATTCTGGAAATGCTGGTCACGTCTTCACTAATGCCAACCTCCTCTCCAAAGAGAAAGCAATTTAAACAAAGCAGATGGACAAACTCTGAGGGAGGAAATACAAAAGGGAATTGTTCCTCTGAGATTGTGTGAAAGGTCCTAGAGAGAGCTAGGAAGGGAACTCAGTTCTCTCAACCCTTAGATCAGAGACTGACAAAGTCCTGTCTACCAAGTGATCCACCAAAATCTCCAGAGAGAACCTTCATCTTCAACTTGGACTTGAAAAGCTGCAAAAAAGGCCCTTCAAAATAAGTATTTGGCAGACAATTTGCATAATGCATTTTTTTGGGAACATTTTGATCCTCTTGTGGACTGCCAGCAAAGCACATGCAAGTGTGCTCATTTACTCATGAGAGACTGAGGAGTTTGGTCCAGTGAGGGTGGGCCTGGCCAGGTTGCTCTGTCTGCATGCTAGGATGACTGAGGTTAGGACTGCTGTATGAAGGACGTGGTTTTACTGAAGGTCAGCACAAAGGAAGAAAGTCTAGTTTATTTGCAGGGTATTTTTAAAGCCCATTTTCCAAAGGAAACAGTACTTGTTTGGCTACCCATCCTCCCCTCTTCCGGTAGCTCACATCAGTCAGTTTCAACTACATCTGAAAGGGCAGTAGAAGTTTCAAAAACATTAACTTTTTGGCTGTCAGAGTAGACGAAATGATACAGACCAGTGATTTCTGAAGAGGCTCTTAGACATCAGCTTGCCACACCATCATCATGTGTGAACGTGACCTGCCCGCCAGCAGGTATCTAGCTCTAGATTATGCATACTGCCATTGTCTCTTGCATTTTGTGGGGTAAGGATTAATGTAGCGGCTGAGGAGGAGATGTCTGGGGACAAAGGACATCCCTTTTCCCCAGGAACCCCAGGCTTTGTTAGCCTTCTTGCTCAGAGGGCAACTTGTTTCCTTTATGTGTGTGAAATGCTGAAGAACAGTTGAGCTTGGCATTTCACTGTAAGCCTGTGAGTTCCTGTCTCCTGCAGGAGCTAGTTCCAGTACCCAGGGCCAGCTCCAGGGTAATTTCTGTGTCCCACACATGCTCCTCCCTCCATTGTCTGATGGTGGTCTCAGTCTGCCAGGACACCATTGTCAGCAACAGACAAAGTGGATAATGAGCAGAGAGACAGCTGGGAAGACAGCAAAAGTCTACCAGGAGAGTAAATGAATGATGGACTCAACCACTCAAATAATAACTGGCTGTTTAAAATACCAACTCAAATGAAAACAGGTTGGGCAAGCTTCTGAGAGCACTTGGGCCAACTATACATTGCTTAGGGCATACCGAGTACACCGCACACCGTCATTAAGTAAGCACAGGCCATCGGTGTGGTGGGAGAAGCCCTCAATGCCAGGATGTTCACTCGAAGGCATCCGGGTCATCCAGCCTGTGTCACCACAGGAGCTGTCAGGCACCACTAAATGAGGACACCCAAGGACCTTCTAGGCGAGAGTTACGTGACTGCATGTCTGAGCCACAGGGACATGTCAGACTGGCCTGGCTACTAGTCCATGAGAGTCTGGGAGTCTGGCTATTATTTCAGGGACCAGAATCAGATCCATGGTTGGAAGCACAAGCTCTCTGCGGTGAAGTGACTGAACCCTGGGGCTGCCTTATGCGTGGCCTTTGCGCTCTTCATGTTATCTCATTGTTGAGATAAATGACCAATTCCCCTTTAAACTTTTAAGCACTTTATAAATTATCAGAGGGCTTTAATCTCTCTTTTCATGAGATAAAGGTTCTTCTAAGCCCCAAACTCTAAGTGAGTGGCTTTGGTTTTGTTTTAAGCCTGTCTTTGGAGGAAAGCAGGCCCATCAACCTGAGAAATGTGATCTCAGCTAGAGTAGGGTTCAGATGTGCTGTTAGGAATGGGCCCAAGCAAAGACTTGGGTTGGTTTGTGCTGATGGAGGAATGCATGGACAAAGGATGGAGCAAACAGTGGATACTGATTTATTCATCTCTATACTCCTTTAACGTAACGGGCATGGAAGCTGCACAAGCCTGTTGAAGAGTCAGCTTTTGCTGACCATACTGTCCAATCTGCCCAGAGATGTTTGCGTCTCTGGTTAAACTGATCCATAGCTACTAATTTATCAAACACCTTTTGAACATGGCAAACCTGCCTTGAGCATTCACCATGCTCCACTATGAACATCAGACAAGAGAGACTGACCCCAGGAAACTATTTCAGAGTGTGTAGATGAGAATATCTGCACCGTCTAAAGGATTCCCCTCATGACAAGGGACAGAAGGATCCCGCAGCACCTGCACGTCCATTCCGAGCAGCTGGTATTTCAAGCAGAATTACACAGAGCTGTTCATGAGTGAACTGATGCCTAGGAGCCGTCTGTGGGAATTATCTGATGAATAGTTTCATAGAACAAACAGCAGAGATTAAAAGAGAGAGGGATGAGAGAGTCAGAAAGGGAGATGTCTGAAACAGGGTGAAATGCAGCAGGAAGAGACTACTCTGCAATGAATTATGTGGTGAGGACTCGGCAAAGCTCCCATTTCTATGCCATTTCTCACAGGAAGACATAGATAGGGAATAGCAGTGATCAAAAGATGGGGATGAAGCGTTGGGTGGCACTAGCATTAAGTCAGGCTAGGAAGAAGCAGCCCGTGTTGGGGATTTTACATGACACAACAAGGTGGTTGTCACCCTGAATTCAAACTCTGTTTGAACAACAGAGGATAAAATCACTAAGATGTCCCAAAGGCAACCCAGTGGCATGGAGAACGTGACACATGTCCTCCAGCATGCCCTGTGTCTTCAGGGAAACCAGTGGGGGATGAAACCACTCCTGTGCCATGAAAGAACTCACACAGAGCTTGGTACACAACAGGAAAAGGCTTGCACAGGCAGGAGAGGACTGTTCACAGAGCAAACAGTCATGCTGTCACAGAATTGATCGTGATCCTTATGGGAAACCTAGGAAACATCTTCAAAAGATGAGCAGGGAATTAAAGTACTGTACTTTAATTGAAACCAAGGCTACAGCACCAATACTGGAACAGGCTTCTCAGGGAAGTGGTCATAGCACCAAGCTTGACAGAGTTCAAGAAGTGTTTAGACAATGCTCTGAGGCACATGGTATGATTCTTGGGGCTGTCCTGTGCAGGGCCATGCGTTGGACTTCAGCGATCCTTGTGGCTCTCTTCCACCTCTGAGTGTTCTATGATTCTATGATTCTACTGGTTTTACAATTTTCCCCAGCTGCCGACTCTTCCACTAATCCCTTGCTATTTGCCTCGCAAGAACTTTTGCCTGTACTTATTATATGAAAGTGAGCAGACTCTACCCCTCTCCCTTGTTAATATTTCCTACTGCTGTGGATGCACTAACAACCCCCTTTTCTTCAAAACAGGTAGCTGATTGACACACTGAAGTTAAACTTGGAATACTTGTTTGCAATCTGTACTTAGCTTGAGGTTTGATGTGTCTCTTTCTGACCTAAAGAAGAGCTCAAGCTCCCGACAGCTTGTCTGTCTTCTCCCAGATGCATCAGTTGGTCTAATTAGAAACCCCCACTACTCTTCCTACAAATCTTTCTATGCTAATAAGTGCGGGAGAAGAGGAAAATGCTCCTATTCCATCTCCTACCCCATGAATACCCATTGCTCTGGATCACAATTCTTTTGCCCTCCATCTCCCTTTGCTATATTCATCAGTGTGGCCAGACATAGCTATGAATAAATACTTAAAAGGGCAAGGAAGAAGTGTACATGGAAGTCTTGACTAAAATTAAAGAGTGAAGCATTTCTACAAGGCAACAGCATGTGTGATTGTTTTGTGTGTGTGGCATTTGCTATTCCAGCTCACTGGCATGGTCAGAGAAGGAAGAAAGGAGTCAGGACACTTGGGCTCCTCTCATAACTTTGCATATGACTTATTTGCTGTCTGTGGGTAATTCATTTCACATTCAGTGTCTGTTTTCTCCTCTGCAAAAGGAAAAAGTAATAATTATTACCCAGTCTCTCTGGTCTGTTGGGAGGTGAAACTGATACAAAATGCCTAGGGATCCTGATATAAAAGGTACATTAATACCGTGGTTTACTCTGCTTTCTGCTTTCTGGGCTGCTGGTGTGGAAGCTGAATCTGGAAATCTGGACCTCCAAATACCCTGGAAGATGTAGCTCAGTAGCCCCTGGCAGAAAGGGCCATAACCTTCCTTTAGCCAGCTTTCCTCTCTAGAGCTGTTGTGGGAGCAGACATTCTTGGGCTATTCTCCCCACTCTGCAACATCTATCCAAAAGCATAATGCCTGAGACAGGAGGCTTCAAAATATTCCCCCAGTTCCTCCCCTGGGTGCAGGATAAAAGAATCAGAGACCCAAACCTCAGAGGCATAATAAATATTGCTTAGGACTAGCTTGGAAACCACAGAGATGAAACTGTAAGAGCCTACATAGCAATAGAGGTTAAAAATATTGTCAAACTTTGCCAGTGAGGATGTGATGGAATTAGGGTTTTCTTTGCATCTAGGATTTACCTCCTGGTGCATAAGGAGATCAGATACTACGGAAATACCATCATGTTACATTTTTTCTGTGTGTTTTTCTTATTTGCATTGATCTCAGTGTTGGTGAATATGAATTTGGCTTCTCTAGGGAAGGAAACCAGAGCTGCTTGTGATACACAATCTCGGTGCATGGCAGAAATCAAAAGGTGTGTAAAGTGAATGAAGTTAGGGTAGACTTGGCAAGTGTTTTCAGGTAATGTTTGGAAACTGGGACTGGGTAATTCAGCAAGATTTTACAAGGCAAATGCATATGTTCTTTAGAGAAAGTAAAATTTCCATCAACATGCCCCACCCCAAACACAGTGACATAGAGACGTGCAGAGATATTCTGGTGTAGGGCCATTTTGGTTCAGCACTTGAGAGCTATGTGTGTACATACTGCATACTCACCTGGGGCAGAAAATTTGCAGCATGGAGCCGCCAACTCTGCCAAGTCTGTTATGTGTGAGTATCAAGCTCATAACTGAATCAAAATTTGGGATATTTTTCTTGGGGACAGTGGAGGCCTATTCTTGGCAGCTAGGCACTTCCCTTGCCTAATTTCAAGTTCTTTCTTTAAGCTGTAAATTCTCAATTAACAAGTTGTGTTGATTTTTTTTAGCATGGACAAAATAACCTCTTTTTCTTCTGGTACTCTGAAAATGGTCAAAATCCCTAAATATGTGTAGGTCTTTTTTGCTAGGTTTGGTTTTTTTATCTCCTCTTTTTCTTGTAACAAGCTAAGGCAGATGCCTGGCCTGGAAAATGTCAACTCAAGTGGTGAAAGTGGCAAGTTACAAGCAAATGAAGCCAGAGTTGTCAGAGACAAGTAAAATAGGTGCTAGTTCTTACATTCTCTGGAATGGAGCAGACCAGCCCAGAGCAAGACACAGTCACTGCCACGTCCTGGGGAAAACACTGGGGTTGCTTTCCTCTGTGGAGATCTCTTTTCTCTCACTACTACCACATTTCCTTTGCCTACATCCTGCAACGTTTGCAGTTCCTTGCATGCACTGTGACTCCAGGAGCACTGTTCCCTGGCAGCCCCTGATGTGGATCAAGGGCTTCTTCACCATCTCAAAAGAGTGCTACTCCTTTCCACTCCTTTCCTAGGGTGAGTCTGGTCTCAGAGTGGTGAACAGGGTGTTTCCTCCTGGTGCTGCTTAAAGCTAACAAGCAGCTCTGGGTGATGGGCTGGTTTCTTTTTGCCAATCTCATCTCATTGTCAAGGGCCACAGACTAGGCCTGCAGGAAACTGTGATTCATTCTGTCTACAGCTTTTTTAATGAGACCATTTCCATTGTCTATGAGTGCCAGGTAGGAGAGCACGTCTGCATCAGAGGCTCTGCTTGGGCACAGGCTGAGAGTACGTGTGCGTGTGTCTGTGTACTCTTGGGCTGTTAAGAGGGCTGGGGCGTTATGTTCTGGGGTACAGACCGATGGTACACTCTGGCCTTGCTGGCTCTGAGCACTGCATGCAGCAGTGCTTGTACATAGGATGAAATGCTGCCACCCACCTCGTTGCTTCCAGGAGGTGAGGAGTGAGTGGTGGGGCTGGGACCTCCCCGTGGGTGCAGTCTGGCACCCAGGGAGAGTGCAGAGGATAGGTCAGCGCCTCTGTATTTCTGGGCAAGCAGCTCCTGAGGAGCAAGTAATTAAGTAACAGCTATGACTGCAGCTGACTGGTGTCGAAAAGGCTGATGTTCACAAGGAGGGAGTGATGAAGCAAGTCATCAGAGCAGCAGGAAGCAGATGGCAGGCAGGTGACCATCTGTGCACAGTCTGATAAGTGCATTGCAGTTGCCTTTCCACATAAGGACTCCAGAAGTGGGATGGCCAGATGTGTACAAATCCACAAGAGATCAGGCACTGAGTTGCCAGTGGTGCCTATGGGGGTGACAGCCCCCGTCTGTATTAGCAATGTGCCACACATACTTCTTGGCATAGCACCAGGCTTTCAACTGCACGGTGCTCTGTCAGCAGCACATCCATGTGCAGCCCTGACTTGGGCAATATGTGATCTGACAAGAGAGAAGGGATACACAGCAGGGATCTTCTGTTTTCTGCCCAGTACCTAGAAGGGTTTTGCATTCCCAAGTTTTCAGTTTCCCCTTCGCCTCAGTTCGTTTTATACACTGAGATAGTATTAATACCTGCATGGCAGTCTTATTTTTCATTGTTCATAGCCTACCTGCGCTCCTGAACTTCAAATATCTCTACTAAAGCTCACATAATTTCTCTGACAGCATAGCCATGGAGGGGAGCCCTCCAAAAATTTCAAGGCCCTCTGTGTTGTGTTGGTAGAGGTTGAGGATATTTTCATCTCCTACTTATCTATGCACAGAGCAGTGTCCCTGATGAAAGAGACATGCGTTCACTTTGACATATGCAGCAAAACCAGGTTAAGGTGGAAAGTGCTTGGAATGAGAGATCCTGCTCTCATGGAGCCTCTCCAGCCTTAGGAGGCATTTTCCTTTGGGAGAGTTGTTTATAGTATTACAAGGTCCAGGGGGTTGCTGCTAAGTGGGCAGATGAAGAATCAGGAGCCCCCAACTCAGCATGCATGTGGGCATCCAGTCAGGCTAATGTGTGTGTTACCAGGCTGTCTTTGCTGTCTGTATACCTCCCTTGATATCTATCCATTTTTTTCCCAACTCTGCACCTCTGTTGCCAAACCTTTCTCTTTGTACACCAGGGGATATCTTCCTGTTCCCTTTACCATCTCATCTCCACCATGCCATCTGTATTATCTCCAGCAAAGAGAGAAGAAAACTAGTGTACATCTTTCCTGCTCCTGGTACCCTCTTGGCACACAAACTACCCCAGGTCATCTCCTGCTGCATGCAAACCCCCACCTGTCCCACCCCAGTCTCTGCTTTCCTCTTTTAGTCCCATGCCCCTTCCCAGGGATTCAAGCAGCCTTCCCTCCTTGGAAGCAATCAGAAAATGGGCCAGAAGTCATGGATGTGTTTCAAAACCACCTGGTAATTCCTGGTAATTCCTTTGAAGTCTTGCAGGAGCTTCCAAAGAGTCAGGTCTTCCCATTCTCGTTAGGATTATACACTTAGCACACAATTACTAGGCTGTCCAGAATGCTTGTCAAAGTCTGGAGTTGGAAAAAGCAGAGTAAGACTTTGGGAACAAAAAAAAAAAAAATTAAAAAAATGCCTAGACTGAGTCGCCTAGAGGCTCTGCTCCTAACAGCTAATGTTACTGTATAGCTTGGCTCTGTCAGGCTTTGCCAGCTTGCTTGCCACAGGCTCCTGTTCTCAGCATAGGAGCCAAATCAGATGGAGGTGCTACTGTAGCTCTATTCCTTCTGACCTAGGGTCTTCACAGTTTGCTCTGGCAGTGGTTTTTAGTTGGACACACATGTATATGTAGTGTCAGGGGATTTTTCCTCCTCCTGTGATATTTTTTCCTTCTGATGCCTTGCATCATACAGATTTGGCCCTCCCTCTAGTTTTTGGTGGTGGATCCTTGACCCTGTATGCACTACTCTAGGTGGCACAGTAAATTAGTACATGTGTCTCCTCGCTCCTAGCTTCCAGTGACCTCTGAGTAAAAATGCAACCTCTTGATTTCTAGTCTGAGGGATTTACTTGGATATTGCTATAAGGGTCAAAACAATAAAATGAGAAAAGGAGAGCTGGAGAAGAAGAGCCCTCCTCCCTTGGGCAATCCTGGAGGAGGTCAAACCATTTTTGGCTGTAAACCATAAGCTCCTGTAGTCAGGCTGAGACAGTATACACTGTTCTACGTGCTCATCTGCATTGATCAGCTCTGTGATTTCATGTTAGGAGGCGGTCGGGCACCTTGGAAAGAGCCTGGCCTACCTCATCCAGCATGGCTTGCAGCATGGAAAAGTCTCCAGCAACAATTCCGCTGCCGGCACAGGGGAGGTGGTGCAGGCATGTGTACTTTGGAGAGGGAGAAGCATGGTGCCTCAGGGGCCAAGGAACGTGCCCATGGCACAGACAACCTCCTCCTCCATAAGCAGCACCAGGAGTGGGCACGTTGCGCACGCAACCGCCAAAGCTGCTGCTGGGCACAGGGCGGGATCACACCCAAAACTCTTTGTTTTTGCAACACAAAGGTGGAGACAGAACGTCAGGGAAGGGGAAGTCCTACTTGCTCTTCCCTCCTGGTGAGACGTCCTGCATCCACACTGCTGCATGTCTGGGACTGCCAGCAGCAGCAGCAGCACTGCCAGCCAGATTTTCAGCACCACTTCTGCTGCCCCTCACAGGATGGGATTCGTTATTGTCCTCAGTGGAAGTTGAGCACCATTAAAAATTCAGCTATTTCAGGCTAAGCTGGCCTTTATTATTGCCAGCCTCACAGTGAAATTGAGACATGTAGAGGTATGGGGTGTTTTTTTTAAAGGAATATTTCTGTACTAGGAAGCATAGCTAGTGTTATACCAGTACTGAAGTGCTATTACTAATTCATCTCAATCTGCCAAAATAGGTAGGACTGCAGTCATTTAGGACTGGAGATGTGTGCTCAGTCCTGGCAGACCACTAGATTCCCCTGATCTCTTACCAGGTGCCAGTACCCAGAGACCAGAGCACAAAGTGCTTGGGAGAACTTCAGTGCAAGAGGTAGGCTTTTCTGAGTGTACCCAACACTCCTGAGTTTCCCTCTTAGATTAAGTGAGCTGCATGGGCAGATTCTGGCATGAAGGGGGTAAGTGGTGCAAGCAGCTGGGAGGCTGTAAGTAGGGGGCAACGAAGCCTGGATGTCTGGGAGGATGCAGGGAGGAGGCACTTGGAGCAGCTTTGCACTTGCTACTGGAAGTGTTGGCAATAGTTCTGGTCCCAGCCTGTGGAAACGGGCAAACCCCTCTGGCAAGTGAACTCCGTGCTAAAGACAGTCACAGATGAGCACTTGCAATCAGTTGAGTGGTGTGCATGAAAACTGCCAGACAAATGCGAACTTGCCCTCCTCTGCCAGGCAGTTATAGTGTACATCATCATGATCCTTTGCAAACAGGGGTGCAGCAGGATCGTGGGCAGAGCACTCAGATCTAAGGGTTGATGCCAAACTCAGCAGATAAGCATATGAATGAGGAACCATTCAGAGGAGGAGTGCAATAGGAGAGCAGAAGAACAAGGAGACAACATGCTCTGTGGATGCCTGCCCTGAAGAGCCTGCTTCACTGTCAAGTCTGGGAACAAAACTTTGGTGTGTTTGACACAGGAACTTTCACCAGTTTTTTAGAGTGCTACTTGAATATAAGGAAAACATTTTCTGCTCTCTCTGCAAAGGTCATGGAATGACTTGCTGTCAACCCTGTGCTGTCTCTGGCTGGGACCAGGCAGGGAAGCGTGAGTGGCTGAGAGCAGCCGGGCTGGGGAAACAGAGGAGCCAAGGTTTGCTGCTGGGTCTCGCACAGTGCAGAAGACAAGTCTTCTCCCCTTCCCACCCCCACACCCGCCTCTTTTCTCTGATGAACAGAGCAGTGGGAATGGGCTTAAAGCCTGTGTCAGCCCTGCCTTGATCTCCATGTGCACTCCACATCTCTTGTGACTTTGTCAACACAGCAGGCCAGACGCTGTCTCTGTCGACAGGGCTGCCTCCTGGGCAGCTGAGCAGAACAGAGTGGAGGTGAGAAATTCCCTCTGGGAGAGATAAGCAGAGCTCTCCTTCATCTCCCTTTCTCTGCTTATCCCCTCCTGCAGCTGCTAATGCACGACAGGGAAGAGCTCTGGGGACAAAAGTGGGTATGGTGTGGAAGGAAGGAAGGAAGGAAGGAAGGAAGGAAGGTTGGAAGGAATTTAAAGAGCAGCTGAACTTGCTTCTCTCACTATGGTGGAGGTTGCTTTTGACCTGAGGCAGTAGCTTGGGGTTGATGAAGGAATTTAGCACTTAACTAGTTAGAGAGCTCTGACACTATGCACCAAGGCATGACAGCACTTCAGCACCTCCCTTTAGGCATTCACTGTGTGAACTCACTTTGCCCTGGCCCCATAGTGCCTGGTTTCTTTCCACTGCAAAGGTTCCCATGTGGTCAAATCAGGACAGGGAATGGGATGCGGTCTCTAGAAACCCCTTTCCACAGTAGGTACATGCTGGCATGACAGTGAGGCTGCCTTTGAGACCACTCCTTGAGAGTCTTGCTCCTTGCCTGGAGCAACTACTACATACTGTCCATTGCTCCTGTCTGTGATCCAAGTCCTCTTTGTGACAACATGATGGAGGTGCCAGTCAGGAGTGTGGGCTTGAGCTCCAGCACTTTCAACATTTGCAGTCCGGGTTTCAGTGCTTGGAAATGCTGGTCAAAGACTTTCATCAGTATGGCCCTTTAGCAGCCTGAACGAAGGACCAGAGTTTCAAAAGGCAGTTCTCTGGGTGGGTCTAAATCAGCACTGCTCCACTTTGTCACCAGGCCCAACCTTCAGCGAGCCAATGTGACCCAGCAGTATCCTGTGAGCACCAGCAACGAGATGAGTGTGAGGTCTCCCCAGCTGGGGCGGGCAGGGTCTGGGACCCCAGGAGGGGGGGAGATCATTCCTCATTGCCCCTGCAGGGCGTTACCTGCGTCACGAAAGACGTCAGCTCCAAAACCGCTGATAGGAGTAGGGATATTTCTGCATGGAGGAGTGTGAAGGAGGGAGATACTGAAGAATATACAGACTCAGCAACCCTCCTACCCCCAGGCCTCCATCTGGAGCCCAGGGCTGTGTGCAGGGATCAAGGAGATGGCTTTACAGCACTCATTAAGTGGAGATGGTAGAAACACAGTGGAAAAAGACAGGAAGAGATAGTGTTGGGCTGTGGCCTTCCAAAGTGATGGGAGAGTGGGTAAGCTGCTTGGAGACAAGTCCACCTGGAGGCAAAGCCCTCCTGTGTAGCTGGGACTGCTGGTTTGACCCTTGAGGACCTCACCTACCTGAGGCTTATTTATGACTTCTGAAATGGTTGCACCTTTCCTAGAGGAGTGCAGGAGGGGAACAGTATTTGTCACACTCAGTGTGAAAAGTGCTAGTGACAATAATAAAACCATACTTAAACATGGACTCAATCCCATTTTAATTGCCCCTGAGGTCCTATCTTATGGACTAGCCATGCAGTTAAAGACTTCTCTCCTACCAGCTAATTCATCTGTACTGGACCCTTGGGCAATCTCTCATAGGTGTTATTTTAAATACGCAAGTGCAAATGATCCCTATTGCTTGCCACCTGAGGTCACTGAAATTGCAGCAATATCTTTGTGTGCTGTGTCCCCTCAGGGAAAATGGCCAACTTGAGATTGCCCACCATGAAAAGCGCCATCTTTCCGACTCCATCAAAGGGGAGAGAGCTTGATATTCAAGGCTTTGGTTTAGTCATAGCTGCCTCTATTTTGCAGGCAAATATATCCACGCAGGCCTCTGAGTGCTTTCTAATGAGGTCAATTCCTTCAGGGGTGAAAGGAGACTGGGTGCCTTCCAAGCTGAGATGCTAATGGTAGTAAGCATATGGTGTATGTGTGTAAATTATAACCCAACTACGTGCTAACATGCCAGCACCTTCCTGGCCCTGTTTTCTGGAGTCTCCCTGCTGCTCCAGGGGTGAAGAGCTCCATTCATCCTGTAGGCCACCCAGCTCTCCTACAGAGAAACACTGAATTTTTAAGTGATGGATTTAAAGCTATCGAAAGGAAGCAGGATTAGCAGGGTGAGAGACCTTTCAACCAGTTATCTGTGCTTGGTCTCAATGCTGTGAATCACTGGCACTCCCCAGGCACTTCCCTCTGTGCCTCATACAGGGAGCTCTGTCCTGCCACACAGGGACTATCACTGCTCTCCCCACACTGGCCCTGGCTTCTGCTTTCCAGCCACCAACTGTGGCAGGACAGGAGTGAGCTGCAACACACTCAGTTTTCCTTTCCACCCCATGCTGGTGCTGGAGGATGCTCTCCCTCAGACTGGATTTCCTCCTCTCCCCTGTCTGCAAATCCTACAGCTGGAGACTGTCATTTCTGCCCTGAAGGTCACTGAGCTGGGGGAGTGAGAGGGTGCAGGAGCCCAGCACACAGAGGGCACATTTCCCTCTCAAGGCCTCCTCCGGTCCCTTGGCCCCAACCCTGACTGGCTCCAGACCCAGTTACTTGCTGGCAGTTCTGCTGAAGACCTCTGCTTTCTTCTGCTCTTACCTGCCTGGACTCTGCCTCTGCATCTCTCTGCCCTGCTCCCTGTGTTGTCTCAATTCCTTGGTCTCTTGCAGAGCCCTGCAAGGTGGCAGCTGTGCCATGTTTTTTGGAGCCTGAGCCAAGAATCAGGCCTGCAGTGTAAGAGACTTTCTGCTGGGCCTCCTCTCCCATCACAGCATTGCTGGAGGGTGCAGAAGCTCATTTAGAAAGTGATGGCATTGCTTGGGTGCTGAGGGAAAGCGTTTTGCAGCCACAATGGCCCCCAGCAAGCCAGGTCTTCTAGGATTTGGTGTGACTCCCATGGCCAAGGCTGGGAAGGAGTGCCTTGCCAGTGGTGCACACTGTCAGCCCGTGACTGTTTTGCTCCCCAGGTGTAAAGCTCCCGACTTGTTTTATTTTTCAATAAAAACCTTCATTAAGGCTGTTTCTTATATGACAAAGGGGAGAGAAGATGAGGGTACAGGGAGGGGGAAGTCCAACCTGCCCAGGTTAAGGCATGGGGTTTGCTGAGTGGCAGGCTAGGCTGGACAGTCAGGCTGCAGCCCCCAGTGCTATCAGGAGCTGGGGCTGGGAACGGGGAGGAGGAGAAGACCCCTGTGCCAGGCCTGCTTGCCCCAGAGGTGTGGGTTGTCTGGAGGTTTCCAGGGAGCCCTTATTTCTACTGGTGGCCCTGCTCACATACCTCTTGTAGCATCCACCATGCTAAGTGGCACTGATAAGGATCTATGGGGGAAAGGGGGCTGGGAGAGATCTGCTTTACAGCTCCCCAGCTCCCCAGGCGCCTCCTGTCACCATGGATCCTGCCAGCCCAGCCAGGCCCATGTCTGTAGGGACAGGGCTTTCCTGGGAGAGGGTGTTTGTTTTGCAGGGGGAGCCCGTGCCCTTGACAAGGGTCACATTGCTTCTTAATTTCTTGCTGGAAGCGCATCTGGAAAGTTTAGTCAATTACTGGCTGGAAGACTCCCTCACAAGACCATGGTATTTACGAGTTCCCCCAGCCTGGGGGGTGCGGACCGCAATTAGAGGAGACGAGGGAGTGAAAGTTGCCTGTGGTGAACTCCGGGACAGTGGAGCTGTGGAACAACCCGCTGGCCACTGCTGTAGGGGCAGCAGCTCCTGGGGTGATCCGGGAATGGGTGACAGACCTGAGGACTGGAGGGAGAAAGGCGTTAGCAGAAAGTTTGTTGTGGGGAGGAGGTGAGGAGGATGGAGCAGGATGGGAGGAGCAAATAGGAGGATTGTGCACACATATCCTGACTCCTTTGCTGTGTCTGAGACCCCAGTATGTAATCTGATATAACAGATGTTAGATTTGTGCCTATGTGGAGTCCTTTTGGGCCCCCCAGAGGGGCTTCAAAACATGCTTCACTGTCATACATATCCTTTAAATGCTGTGTGTTGATGAGGCAGCATTAAGGGGTCATCAGCCTTGTCCATTCCCAACAATTTTTTGCCTCCATAACCCCATTAATTAAGGGAAGGAAAAGTCATCCTGTCTCTCACATTGATACAGTTTTGCTGGCAAGAGTCTTAAGACAATGCACTGTACTGCTGGCAGAAAATTCATCCAGGATAAGCCACCCTGGCACGTGCAGACTTTTTGTCAGTGGAAGCTGAGTCTCTGCTGGGAGGGTTTTCCTGGCTGGCAATGGGAACGAGCTGCTCTGCATGGTGGCAGGTGAAGAAGCTTGTGGTCAGCAACCTGAGTCAAATGGTATAAGAGGACCAACTGGAGGACCATTTTATTTGTCCCCTTGTCTCCACAGGCCCCATCTCATCAGTGATCTTTTTCATGGGCCACCAAGGTGAGACCAGAGTTGCTCCTTGCTAGACTTGCCCCATGTCTCATGCACTGCATTAGCTACCAGGGTGGTTGCACTGCTTGAAGACACGCACCCATCCATGGAGCCAGAGGGCTTGTCCTCACCAGTGTGTCAGTGTGAGAGTAGGTACATGCATACAGTAATTGAAGAGATCAAGGCTGAGTGCGCCCAACAGACCGACAAAGCCAATTACTCCTCAGGAATTTCTGCTCCTCAGGCTCGGATGGTGATTACAAAACCTTTGCCATTAAAAATTAGCCAAGGGAGAAACTTGCTGCCAGAGTTCAGTAGAAATTTCCCATGCCCATCTGATACAAAGAGTGACCACAAAGTGTGCAGCTGCCAAACCATGGACATCACCTTTTCACAGGCTTGACATTCCCTGTGCTTTAGGAGACAGGTAGCATGACACATAGATGCATGTATATCCACAGGAACAGAGCATGTGTCCACATATGCTGGCACACAGAGCACATAAACCGTAAAGCTGCAGTAACAAGAGGTTGGGAAACCCACAGTGATTGCGCTGACAGCTTCCATTTCTGGCTGTGTGCTCTTGGCCCAGCTGCAAGGTCTCAGGGTGGAGGTGGTGGAGGCATGAGTGGCTGCAATAAGGGCCGAGGGAAGGGGCCCTGCTGCTGAGATCCTGTGAGTGAGATCCTGTGAGAATGAAAGGAAAGACACATCCTGCTCCCACCTTGTGCAGGTGGCAACAGGATCACCGGGTGTATGGGGTGAAGGGAATGAGAGTGGGAAGGCTACAGTTGGACCAGTACTACAAGCCTGGCTGTCCTGTTCCTCTTTTGGAGTCTCTGCCTCCCTGCTTAGTGTGGGTGTTCACTGCAGAGTTAATAAGATTATAACTCCAGTGTTGCTGGTAACTTATGTCTTATCCACACCCACATCCCTATAAATCAGAGATGCTTTTTGACTTGAGCTGGCTGGCCAGCCAAGGAGATGGGCTAGAGTACAACCCCAAGGCTGCTGACATAACTGTTCTGCAATGTGGGTGCAGCTAGCCCCTCTCCCATGCTGCTATGTGCTCTAGGAGTTCTCTTCCCTTCCGTGGGTCAGACTGATGTTTCTCCTCCCAGTCCTTTGGGAAAGGGTTTGTAGAGCCATGCCATTTCCTGCACAGCACTTGGGGCTGTGAGATAA